CGGCGGGTCCCACCTCGGGCGCACGGTCCCGCTGCCGCCACCACCCCCCACTGCTTCCCGCTGCCCTCTGGCCTACCGGAAGTGATCATAGTTGCCGGCCGCTCGTAACTGCCGCGCTCGTTACCGCTTCCCGCAGGAAGGGGACGTGGCTGTCCCGCTCCGTGTGGCGTGAAGGCGGAGGGGGCGGGGCCCGGCGGGCGGCCGCGGGGCGCGAGGCTTGGCCCTCGTCGCGGTCCGTATCGGGAGCTTGGGGTCCTATCCCCTCCCTTCCCATCTGTCAGTGCGGCGGGTCACGACTGTCGGCCGTCTGCCGGTGACCGCAGCTGTGCGCTCCGGCTGAGGTAAATTCGGGGCCCAGCCGCGTCTGTCAGAGCTGAGGCCGGGATTGGAATGATGGCGGCGGCCTGCGAGCTGGTCCTGTGAATGGGTTTCCTTACACTGCTATGTAACCGATCATTTAGCATCAACTTTTTAATATGATTTTAATATATATGTAGACTTGCACTGCACTAGGGCCTGGGGTGGTGGCTTCTAGTATTTACTTATTTTTAAACATCTGGAAGCAAAAATAGAAACCATGGACCATTAGTGGCTCTTCCTTGTTGCTGCTGTGTCTGTTACCAAAGGAAATGTGAGCTTTCCGAGAGTGTTGGTATGATTTAATGGTTATTGAGAAATAACTGCAGAAAAAGTATCAAGTGATGAGGTTTTGTTCCAGAAGGGATTCTTCCAGGGACTTCGGCCAAGAGTGTCTCCCTGCCCTCTGACTGCAGAGCTGCTCTGGAGAGGCTGCTGTGTCTGTGTTCGGTGGAAAATGATAGCGGACTTGTCCTGATAAATGGTGGTTCATGGAGGTGTGACAGTAATTCTGCAGAGCTTTTGCTGTCTGAGTAGCTGTCAGGTGGCTCCTGAGGCCTGAAACACAGTGCTGGTTATAGGTAGAAAAGCACATCTTTAAGATTACGAAGAAACCAAAATCAACTAGACCTTCAGTCTGATTGTGACTGGCTTTAGGACAGGATGCTTTGCTCACAAATTACAAAAAAGTAAGTTACTTTCCAAATCAGATGTAATAAAAAGAAACAGGTTTGCTAAGGAAATAAAACTGATACAATTACATTGTCAGGTTTTCCTCTATTACCAGTAACTGTTGTGTTAACTCAAGCCAAGTAATGTAAGAGGTGTAGGGATGTAAAAGATCTTAAGTGTCTGCAGTTTCTTGCTTGGCGAAAATGATTGGACTATGAAAGAGGAGACATAAGGAAGTGGAGAAGCGGAAGAGTTATCCTTCCATGCTGTCCTTCAGGTGGGGAGGCATTGGCAGCTGTGTCCCATCAGTCAGACCGCAGCCCTAGGTCAGTCGTGCTCTGGGATACGTGAAGAGTGAGTGAGTCAAGGTGGAGCACTGGGGGAGCCCTTTTCCCACTGAAACATGGGGGAAAGATTTTAATTCTTTCTGTTTAGCATATGATCCTAAGGGGTGGTTTCTGTTGGGGCTGTAAAGCCATTTGCTGGGTGTGATACCAAATTAAATTAGTATTTCACTGACTATAGAGACTTAGGGCTACAAGGATTCTTAAACTAGTATTTCACTGTGTATAGAAGCTACAAGGATTTTCAAGATAAGGAGAGTATGCAACAAGAGAACCAGATGTCTTCTCTCAAAACAATGTAGGCTTCCTCCTGTTGATAAGGCCTGAGAAATAGGTTGCAAAATGAAACAACTCAAGGAGCCTCTCAAGGTCGTAAATTAGCCCAAGCAAGGACATGTAGCTAAGTTAGCTCAGTCCTGGAGGAGTCAGTGGTCCAAGTGCTTTAAGGCAGCAGAACAGAGAGAAGAGCTTCCTGTTGGCAAAAGCCATTTTTGAAAACGAGGAACTAATGTTGCTGTTTTATGCTGTGGTTCAGGTGTTTTTTTTTCTTCAGTGAGCTGTGCCATATTTGTTAGGAGTCCCTGAGGGTAAAAGCTTACCTTGTAACACTTGAGGTGGGAATGTGGTATTTCACTACAGTTTTAAAAATGTGAACACACCTGCAGGGATGCTTTACTTGGCAAACTATTATTTCATAGAAGTTATTCTGAGGAGCACAAAACCTATTGTCGGAGACTCTATGTCGTCGCGATGCGGAGGGAACACAGCACAACCAGTATGATTGATAGAAGTGATCCGTTTATTCTGCTTAAGCCTGGGGTTTATATAGAGCTAGGCTGTTATTCACACATATTCTTGGGAAACTTCTGTGGTTTTATTATTTACAGGCACATCCCGTTTTCTAACCTCCTTATTCCTCCCTTCAAGATACTCGTTAACTACAAGGTCAGTTTACCCCCCTGCACAGCTGGTGTTTTTTACTGAGCTGGGTTTCTTACTGACTTTTACAAAACTGGTCCCTGGCCAAGTTCAGCCATGGGAACGTAACCCTTGCCTGCCAACCATGCTTCCACAATTCCCCCTTTTTCTTTTTCAAGCATATTTGTTACAATTTTCATAAGGCTTTGCTGAATATATTGAATAATACAAGGCAAACAAATCAAGATAAGCAAAAGCAAGATACATACAGGTAAAGAATGAGTTAAAATACTGCTTAGCCAGGATCCTAGTCCCAGTGATCTTAACCAAGAGGTGAGGTCCCAAGAGTCACCTTCCTTTAATTTGTGTAAATTGTCTTTGAGTTGTTGCAGCTCCTTGTATATAGAGCTACTATGGCCTGAGAGATTCATGCAACACGTATGGCTCTCTGGTAACAGGGGAGGCCATCCTTCACATCAAGGTCTGGCATGGCATGTGTCCCCACCGCTCCACGCCTGCTGGGTTAGCCAGCAGCGGAGCTAAAGGTTCTTCTTGGTGGCAGGCACAGAGGCCAACCCAGTCTTGCCCTTGATTGTGGTAGCAGGCATTTGGTCAGCCTCAGTCCTTGCACCTTGTTGCCAATGCAGTTTCACCTGCTTCATCCAATAACAAGCTGTTACTATGGCAAGGCACACACACAGATTTACATTAGCAGAGTAACTATTACAGGGTGCAGCAGCATGTTGAAGATGCTGATGCCAGTAAGGGACTAGCCAAAGAAATTTCTTACCAGTGGAATTCTCTCACCCTCTTAATTTGTTCCATTGCCTGCTTTATAACACTACCATTGTATTAGAATATTTCTATCTTTTGCTTTAGCATTTTCTAGCAGCTACTACAAATTTGCATACTCTAACAAGTGACAAATCCATATAATACAAGGTGTAGTTTCTTATCAGCAACTGGCTAGTAAATACAGGTGGTTTCATACACAAAATCAAAGCCTCTAACAATAGCTATTTTACAAACACACATATTCAAACTGTTAACTTTTCAGTTGCTCCCAAATGATGTTTAGCCATCGTTGGTTTTTCTCTTCCTCTATCTCATTCTGCTTGGGGTATTCACGTTCAGCTCCTGTAGCTGAAGCATCAGGTTCTTCCATTTGTCTGTCCAGATCATGGAAAGGCTTGACAAACTTTGCAGGCATTCCCATGGACCTGTAGGCAGGAGGACACAAATATACCCCCTCCTCCAGGTTATCAGTTCTTGAGAAGCAGATAGGTTCTGTATCTGCCACCATGATGCTGCTTAGGTGGTGGCTCGTAAGGCTTGTGGTTGCACTACCCCTCTCGCTTTTTCAGTTAGCAGTTCTTGTTTCAACCAGTCTATCTGTTCCTCCAAGTCTTGGATTCATCCCCAGGTTACTTGAAACTTATTAAGCTTGGTTTTGTTTTATTTTGTTTGGGGGTTTTTTGTTTGTTTGTTTGTTGTTTTTTTTTTTTTTTCCTCGGCTCTGGTGTCCATCCTGGTCCTTCCACCGGTGAAGCACCAGGAGCCGAATCGGAGGGCAGCTGTTTTTGAACATGGGGATTGAACTCTTATCAACCTGTGTGGAGTGGTTTGTCAGTGTGATAAACTCCTGTTCCCGCTTTCTAATCTGGGCATGAGCAATGATGCTGTGTTCCAGTTAAAACTGAATTTATAGCTCAGTATTTTTAGTGATGCTACAAAATAGGTGGAGGTGGCATCCACGAGTTAAATGCCAGTTAAGTGTGTTCCTGACTGTGTATTTCACTATTTGAATAAATGATACCACATACGAAGGCTTGGTTTTACTTTATTTGACCGATGTAACTCTCTAAATACTAGGTTTTAATTATTTGTTATAGTATCAAACCTGATTAATTTGTTTTGTATAGAAAAAAGAACTTGGTGCTTAACATAATTGCTGAGGTCTTTTATACCCTCTCCCTTCTCTTCATGCCAGAGGAAACATTTCCATTACTCTGAAAAGAAACAGGGCAGTTGCCTCTACATGTGCTTATACAGTAGGTACCTGCCAAAAGAACACAAACATGCATGTCTGCTCTTGAGACTCAAAAGGCAGTATGATGAGTTCCTTCTATCCACCTTTGTCTGCTGATAATTTACAATTCCTGCAGCCATCACCAACCAAAACCTTATTTGATTCAAATAACCGCCGTGTAGTGCAGTTGTCTTCACCAGACCCCATCTCTCTGGCTGGCAGCTGAAATCTTCACAGCGAGACAGGTTTTTTTCAGCACCTTCCCTTCCTGTTACTGGTTCCCGCCTGGCTTCAGTCTTTTCTCTGTTACAATAAATGCCTTGGGTATTTTATCCCAAGCGCTGTCGGCAGGATCTCGTGTCCCTTTGTGAGCTGGGTGGAGGAGGAGGAAGGTGGCCACGCTTCGTCCTATTAAACGTACACTGTGTTTAAACACTGTTAGTAGCTATTAGCGCTTCCAAGGGATTTATTTCAATGCAAATGGAGGTGTTACCTGGGAAAACAGCCCGTAACTAGCGCCTGGCTCCTGGGGAAGCCCCGCGGCCGGTTCGGTGGAGCCCATTTGTGACGCTCGCTTACAGAGCGCACGGGAACGTAGACCGGGACCAGGGGAGCGCAGTGCGCATGCGCCAAGGCGCCTTGCCGTCCGCTGGGAATTGTAGTTCCCGTCAACCCCAGCGATGCTGCGTGCGTTCCGTTGTCATGGAGCAGCGCGACAGGCCGTAAAGCGGGCGGCGCTTCCGGCTGGCGCGGAGGGGAGGGTTGGGAGCCTCGTGTGAGGGAGCGTGGAGGCTGTGGGTGCCCGCCCGCCGGCCCCAGGCACCCGCCCGCCTCGCCAGCCCGGCGCCCCCCACCCCCAGGATGTTCAAGAAGTGAGTGGGTCTGCGGGTCGGCGGGAGGGGTGGGGGAAGGGGGTTAGGACGGGCTTTCAGCCCCCTCAGTACCAGGGCTCGGCCTGGCCTGGCCGGGCCTTTCTCGGGGGCTGGGATTGGAGCAGCTGGCCTCTCTCCCTGCCGGTTGCTGGGGTCTCCTTGGGGCACCGGGCGCGGCCCCGCAGCCAGCTTTGCCTCCGGGGGCGCTGGTTTGGGCGGTTTGGGCACTTGCTTGTGAAGAAACAAAACCCTAGACAGTGAGCTGAGTCATGAACTTGTGTGAGCTTCTAGGTAGTACAGAGGGCGGTTCTGCGGCTGTGGTGAAGGTGAAGGATTCTTACAGATAGATGTGAACAGGGCCATAGGTGTTTGTGTTACCAGCCATGTCTGCTCTAGGGGTTGAATGAAGTAATGCTTTGTGCTAAGGTCTATCTGACCTGACTAAAACCGTGTTTCGTGGATGCATATAAAGTGTATGAACAAAGACAGCCTACGGCTGGGGACCCCCTGCCTTTCCCTAACCCTACTGTTCCTAGGGGGCAATTTATGCCTCGTGACATCCTAAGTTTGAAAGTTGGGCAAGTGTGATACTGTTAATGTTTTTCAGCAAATTTGTAAATGCTTCTGAAGAGTCTTGCTGAGATATGGCATCTCTTGGGCAGTAAACTATGCATTTCTGAAACGTTTTCACTCGCTTGACAGATTTGATGAAAAGGAGAATGTATCAAACTGCATCCAGCTGAAGACTTCAGTTATTAAAGGAATTAAGAATCAACTGATAGACCAGTTTCCTGTTATTGAACCATGGCTAAACCAGATCATGCCAAAGAAAGACCCAGTCAAAATAGTAAGATGGTAAGTTTCTTTTCTCTTAAACTTTTCTACCAAGGTGCTGGGGTTTCTTCCTTTATGTTTGCTTTGTATAGTCAATGAACCTGGTGTTCTTGAAAAACACTTATTGTTTCTTAATAGATAATGGTCTATGTTGTGTGCAAACCAGACAGCTTCTATGTGCTCATCACACTCTTGAAGGTACTATTGTTTGATGAAAACAAAAACGCCTAGTAGTGAATATGTAACCTATTTAAGGACTCTCCACATAATCAGCCTGTTGTTCAGTAAAGCATTCAGCTTTATGGATATGGAAGCTTGAACTTGTTTGAATAGCTTCCAGTATGTGTGTGTTTTTGTTTTTTTTTTACTGTCTTTGGGCTTCCATATATTATCTGGAGTATTTTCTTTTAATTTTTATCTTACAGAGGTAGCATAGCTTTGCTGATTCTTTCTCCTTATCCTCTGTCGCATTTAAAACAAAGTGAAAATCTGAATATTTGTAGATTTCTTCTCCCTTTATTAAGGGGCAGGCAGCGTGCAGGGTCCAGTGCTGAAGAACAAACCATTACAAGTTTAAAATTTTCTTGCTAATTGACTGTCTCAATCCTCAGATGCCAAGGGAGAGCAGACTTTGTGAAGTGAAATCTTTCATTTAAACTCTGAAAAGCTGAGGCACCTATTGGAATAACTTTTTTTTTCTTAACCTTCCAGCCATGAACATATAGAAATCCTCACTGTGAACGGGGAGCTGCTGTTCTTCAGACAAAGAGAAGGGATTTTCTACCCGACACTAAGGTTGCTTCACAAATGTAAGTTTCCTGAGGGTGGGAGGGATGGGGAGAGGAGCAAGAGCATGTTTCCACAGGACTTCTGTAGAACCCAATTAAAAAGAACTTACTGCTTACATATTTTATGTATGTATCTAGGATAGCTCTTAAAGATACAATATGCTTTCTCAAGTGTAACATATTGCTTTGCTATTTCAGATACCTGTGTGGATTGCTTCCCTCATATTTGCTGTAATGCTGTATGTTAAACAATCTGAAATTTGATACCTAAGAATTAAATTGTGCAATGCTCTGCAAAAAAAGAAAATCTTGAGAGACCTTCCCTAGGACAGAGATCTGAATTTCCTTTTGTTAATTCCTGTCCTTGTTCTTTCAAGTCTTCCTTTTCACTTCCTTCTTATTAGGGTACAATTCTTTACTCATGAGTTCAATAATGTAATATGTACTTGTCTCCTATAAGGATTTGTGGTTGTGTACTGTTTACAGTTTACTCTTGCATTATTTTTCTTGCTGTTCGCATTGTTCTGCTTGATTTTGTTATTCTGGTTTTGATGAGGGTAGGTATCCTTAGAAATGTTCAGTCAAATCTCAGTATTTGAAATACTTGATGAAGGTGTGTGCACTTGAAGGCTGGCTTGGAAAGCCAACATCTTTCATGAATTTTGTCCATCTTTGCCTTTTTTGTCCTGTTAATGTTGAACTGTTTCTTCTTCATGGAAGGGCTTGGTTGTGTAATTTGAGGGGTTTAAGAGCCCTTAGTTTTAAGACCTCTTAGTATGTGGGCTCTTGTGTGGTTGTTTTCACTGGGGGAACTTGTTCAAATTGTTACTCAGTATATGAATACAGAGGAGGCATGGGCTCAGCGTTGGAATCCCCTTTTGTTCTTGGATAAAAGGTGTGATCTGTGAGAGCATTACTTGTGTCCTTTTGGGGCAGCACAGAGGGGCAGGAGCTTCAGTAATTGCTTCGCAAACTTCTTACCCTCTTAGCACATTATATATCTAATTGCCACATCTAAACTGCCTTGATAATGAGTTATTCATGTTGTCATTTTACCATGTTAATTGTGATGCTGTATCTTTCCCCTCCTAGACCCATTTATTCTACCACATCAGCAGGTTGATAAAGGCGCCATTAAGTTTGTACTAAGTGGAGCTAATATAATGTGCCCTGGCCTGACGTCTCCTGGAGCAAAACTTTACCCCGCTGCCATTGATACTGTTGTTGTATCCTTCTTTAACTATGAATTACTGCTTGCTGTGAGATGAGTTACATTTATGTTCTTCTGTTCTCAGCTGCTCATAATCTGAACTTCTGTTTATTTTAGTGGTGTTTCATGGAATAACTAGTAATCTGAAGAGAGCTGCAGAGGTTCAGATGTTCCTCAGCAAGGTTAACATTGTCCTTAAATTTTTTTTTTTTTACTTACTGTGATGTTCCAAACCAAATATTTAGTCCTGTTGTGCTGTTGGGCGGGATGCTGTTCCACTAATCTAATTGAGAAGTGGAGCTCCTTTGAGTTTAGGCAGAATTGTAAAAACAGATGAGGTACAGTTTAACTTGTCTACTGCCTTCAGTTACAGAAGAATTTGTTCGTGTTCCTAGGGAATTTGGAAAGAAGTCTAGGATCAGCTTTGCTATAGTTAGGACTTACTCTTAGGTAATTGATGAAATTAGCATATGCAAAAAGAGGAAAATATGCTAATTCACTCCTGTTCATTATATTACTGAGAAAGGAACCCAGAGTGCACACAGCATTAAAACCACCAAGCTGTGCTGCTTTTGTTGTTAGATGCCATTGGAAGAGATCAGTAGTTAGCATCAGTGTTGCTAAGCTTTGAAAAGATGCATCTGATTTCAGTACTTCTGCTTTTTTTTAGGTTTGTGTCTCAAATCCTCTGTACCTTGGAATCTAAAATGATCCCACAAACGTGCAGTTTTGTTTCAGAAAGGATGAGGCCATCAGTGTTACGAACAAAGGAATGTAGTGTGGGAGATCTTTTTCTGTAACTGGTGTTCGAAGTTCCTAAATACATGCTTTGTTCTACACACTGTGATTCAATTCTTAAATGCAGTGCATTGTTTTTCTTACCTTTTAAGAGCTGGAGCTCTAGAGTTATTAAAAGTTCAACACTGGATTTTGAAACCTTTTTGGGAATTTGTTTCCTCATACTGCTTTTCTGAAACAGTTTTAAAACCAGTCTGTTTTCCTTAGCGGTAATTTGTAGGCAATAATGGCAGAGGGAAAACAACATGCATTATGTGTGGGAGTAATGAAGATGTCAGCTGAGGACATGTAAGTGTGTTAAAAATTGAAATACAACTTGCCCCATGTCATTATTCTTATGCTAGTTTGAAATATAAACACTACTGTCAAGGCTACTGCATTGCTGTTGCAGCATATGTTGCTCAAGTACAGAATTTGTTAAGATTGCATTGTGTTGATTAATAGGGGAAGAACAGGAGGAAGGGAATAGCTTCCCTGCTTATTCATTTACTGACTGAAATCAAAATAGTTCTTTTCATGTGAATATGGATTTTTAAGATGCACGGCATTTGTACTGCCAGTGAATGTCAGTGTTTCTTGCTCTGTAATGATATTTTATCAAAGGTCTTGCTGAACAAAGAAATACTTGTATGGAGTACCTACTGCCTGGGCTGGGCAAGAGATATAATTTGGATTTGAGGGGGTTGAAAGTAGTTTTTTTGTCTGCAGGGACAGCAGAGACTAAAGTCATGCTGGCACTTGGTTGACAGTTGGGCTTTTCTCTGTGACCTTCTCTTTTTCTTTACCTTGAGCTCACACCCAGGATTCCTGCTTGATGTCGTTGCCAGCTTAGATGAGCTTCTTGTGAAATGCAGAAGCCTGTTCAGGGAATAAATGCCAAGTGAAAATTATTTGAGAAGGAAAAGAGACAGAAAATAGAAATGGATGTTAATTGTTTGTAGCATTCAGGTAGAGCTAAATCATAAGTAGTTGAACCACTTTATCACTTTAAGTTCTGTAATAGCTCACAGCAGGTTGTAAGCCGCTCACAGCAGGTTGTAAGCTGCACCCAGCAGGTTTGGGCTGCTGTTGGTTCCAGCCCCATCTAGCACTTGTGTGTGGGAGGAAGCTGATTTTGATGCAAACAAGTTGCTCTTTCATGTGGAGATAATTTGCAGCAGGATCATCATCTGTGCTGGGTCACTCTATGGTCCTAAGAGCACTGGGAAAAGAGGTGGAAATGTGTTACAGAGGACAGGGATAGAGTGGGACTGCAGCAACCTGGATTTGGACCTTCTGTAGCTGTTGAGGAATTACATTCCTTAGGGTTCTTTGTAGTGCCCTCAAAAGTCTCCAGGAGCAGGTGGAAAGAGTAGCTGCTTCTGTCCCAGTCCTATATCTGCTGTGATTGCTGCAAATCAAAGTCATCTGTATTCCTAATCCTAACTTTAAATTCAGCAGCCTTGCAGCTGAATATCCTGTTCCTGTGAGAAGCAACATGAACTGGAGAGGAATGATACTGATCTGTGCAGCCTGTTAGTATGGAAATAGTGCAACAGTATGATTTGTCACTTAGTGTGACTATGGTACATGATGTGTTGTTGCGATTAACGTAGTGGTATTTTCCTCCCTGATTACTTTTAGACAAGTTGTATAAGTAATGGGACACTTAGCGTAAATACAGTAAATTATATTCTCCAGGGGAATGAAACTTGTCTCAGTCCTGGAATGAAACTTGTCTCAGCCCTAGAATGAAGAGATTTGTCTTGTTTATGGTGACAAAACTAGATTTTTTCTGTGAAATAAGGTACTGGAAAAAAGATGAACACAAATCCAAATCAGGCACATAAACCAATCGTCTTTAAAAGACAACCTGACTTAAAAGACGTAGAAAGTTATTATGTCTGTGACATACTGCAAGTCCTTGGCTCTTAAATGTAGCATTTGCAACACTTTATTAAGTTGGTAGGTGTCCACAACCATCAGTGAAGCACCTTACTCGTATTTGATTGTGTCATTGGTGCACCTGGAGCTAGAACTTGTCAAATTCCACATTCTAGCTATGTTACACAACCTCCTGTGCTTGGATGAGGACAGTCACTTAAAACTGTTCTGCTACTTTCACAGGGAATAGCTTAAAATAAGTAGCAAAAGTGCTGTCTGAAACCCGCTTCCCATGAAGAAGTAGTTAAAAATACTGTGGAATGTTTGTTGAGAAAACACGGAAGGCAAATACTGTCCTCGTATCATTCAACAAAGTGGGTACATGTAATAGCAAATACTGTTTCTTGTCTACCTGCTGTTGAAGATTGTGACACATTGGATAATAGCTTCTTCCCTTCCAGTTGATAAATGTTGCATATTCTACTTGAAATACTGTATTTTGTAGTGCTGTAATATTTAACCTAGCTAATACTTCTGTACCTTTTCCTTCCCCCTGCAGTGAGAAGGTCAACAAAGGGATTGGTATCGAAAATATCCACTATTTAAATGATGGCCTTTGGCATATGAAGACGTACAAGTGAAACAAAAAGAACTGTTACTCCAAAGGAATGCACTTAGATTAAATGTGGACTGCTTTGTAATTCCTTATTTTTAATGTGACTGAATGTACAAATTATTTTGTTCTGTGGCTATGCTAAATAAATCAAGTGAATGCAAAAGTTCTGTTAGGCTACAATAGTTTTCTAGATTTCTTTTTATTACAGTTCTTTTGTCTTAAAGTCAAGTCTTCAGTGACTGAAGATAATTGATGGCAAGATTGTGCATGGACTGTGAGTAGACTATTTCAAACAAAAAGGAGGAAAAAGGCAAGAAATGTTTACATTTTTATGCTCTTCTAAAAGAGTAACAGTGTATGTGAAATGTAATTTAATACGGTTTATAAAACCTCTGAAACATTTCAGTTCTTTTCTTCTGATTAACATCTTTTTAGTCTACCTGTTTCTTGAATCATTTTTTTTGTCATTATTTTTTAACTTAATTTATTAACAGCATTTATTTCAGTATTTTACATAAGGATTTTCTCTTTTTAATATGCCTTTATCTGCATAGGATTTATTAAAGACTGGTATGTGGACTAGAAATTTTTATGCTAGTTCGTATCTGAAGCATATATATATATATATATGTTCAAGTTTCTACCTGCCAACACACTGTTTGATATCTCTCTCCTTATAGTGTTCTTACTAATGTGGGCATGCTCCCAGTGGAGTGTGTGCCAGCCTGGTGCCTGATGCTGTACTCCCCGTTCGCCGCCTTATTTTAGAAGCAGAAACAAAATCACTATCTAACAAAGGCACAGTAGCAAAACATAGTTATCAGTGTAGCCAGGAGTAACTTCTTCAGGTGGACCTTCAAACCAGATCTCTGCTTGTGCACACTGCCACGTGTATGTACACCTACAGAACGGGTTAAAGAGCACTGTGTATTTGTCTGGATATGCCAACTCTGTTCAGTGACTGCACACCTAAAGCTACATCCATGGAAAACAGCCTGTGCTGTGGAATCATTTAATAAACTAAAAAAACTTTAAGGTCTACCACTTGTAACTCTGTCTCTGGAAGTGTTTATTAATATTTCTAGTCTATTCTAACACGTAGTGGCAGAAGGTAATTTTGTATGCAGCTACCTTGTGTCAGTGCTGTTCTGCGTGTTGGCTTCCCCACACTGGGACCTTTACAGAACGTAGTGGCAGAGGTGGTATCTGATTCTAAAGTCAAGTTACGACATGGGAGATGGAGTGTGTTTCCTAATGCATGCTACTGTAAGTAATTTTACAGGAGAGATTTGAAAGATGGTATGTGTGAAGATGACCATAAATCTGAAACTATTAATGTAGGAAGACAAATTAAGGTGATGCAGAAGCAGTGCTGCAGAAGAAAGTTTGGTCAGACCTTCCCTTCAGAATGCTAATGGACATTTTTATCCATCTGACAGACTGCTGTAAATGTGTACTCATTTCTTGTTAGTGCTTCAGTGGATCTTTTTTTCCTAAAACAAGCTAGTCTTGAGTGCTGTGGCTTTTTGCCTTTCCATCTTGTCTCCTCCTGTTGTATTACAGTACTTCTCAACTCTTGTGATAAATGAGATTTATGGTAATTCCTGTTCTTTTTCCTTGTTCTGCCCTATGACTGCCAGTGTTGCAGTGGGGTCTTTACTATCAGAAACAACACTGAAATAAAAATTTTACTTTATCTGCTTTGTCAGTATTCCCAACTGTGGATCTAACCTTTTAACAGTGATTCTGTAGAAAAGATGAGTTAAATCATGCTTGAATTAATTTGCATACCAATTTCATAGAACCCCAAAATACTGATTTTTCTCTAGGCTTTGGCAGCAGTCATGTATGTGTTTGCCTTGATGTGTCAGCTAAGAGGGTGCAAGAGGTGAGACAAGCTGCACTTTTCAAAACAGCTGAGCTGTGGTGTCCTGCTTGGGGCTCTGAGCAGCTGTTTTGCCCTTCCTGTCAAAAATGAAGGATCTGATGCTTAAAATGTGGATGTTTTCTTTGGCTCTCACGCAGTTGTGTCATTCCCCCACCTGCCCCTGGCAGCTCAGGACAGGCTGAGGTATTAAAAATGGCCTGTTAAAGAAAGGGAAGTAACATTCTCTTACCAGGTCTTTCATGGACGTTGTAGTACCAACAAAGCTTGCAACAGTCTTAGATGTACCAGGTAAGGAAGGTACTGCATCTAAAGCTTGAAACATCCAGGTTGGGTCAGTAAATTCTAAATGGAATAAACTCTGAAGTGCTCTTTATCCCTTCTTGCTGTGGCTGGAAGGGAGTATGAGAGTGTGACCTGGTAACTTGGATAAATCTGACTTCATGTGCACTCTATTGTGTAAAAAGCATCTATGTTTGTATTGACATTTAACTAACTTCTTCCTTGTAAATGCTATTAGTACCATTAACAGGACTGAAAATAATACTGAACCTTTACTCTTAATATGCTTATCTATGGAGTGAAATTTGAAATGAGCAATTACTCTTGTGCTAACAGGCTACCTGACCATGGTAATACTTATTCAAATACAGTTACCTCCTTTGTCTACTTAAAACCAGCAGTCCAAAGGTCACTTGGTATTTCTCTGCTGCAATTTCCTGACAGATCTCTTGTTCGCTTGCTTCCTGCTAATTCCTGATGGGGCTGGGAGGCTGTGCATGGAGCAAATAGCTGTGCGTACACAGCACACCTCAAACTCTTGTGTATTTAGTGTAAAGGAAATGGCTTAAAATTAGTCTTTGAAATTGCAGCTGTAGCCAGTTTTATTGGTATGTCTTGATACAGATTGGTATATCTAGAAAGATATAAAGACATTCTAGAAATGCCCGGAAGAATTGAAAGAATCAAAGTCTTGCAAAAAATATATATATAACAGTAGACTAAACTTCATTTGGGTTTTCATTAATAAATATTTACATGTACAAACCCCCCATATAAACTTAATTTCCTTTTATTATAAACATTAACAATTTATTTATAATTTCATTCCAGCAGTGTCAAAAGCCAGAAACATTTCTGTATAAAAGATTTAGAAAAAAGTTCTCCTTCCACTTTTAAAATGAAGAGCTTTACCAAACCTCAATGTGCAAAAAGAACCTGTACACCAGTACCACCAGGTACAAAATGAAACGTGTCAGTACAAACGTATGTGGTGAGAAGAGCCACCTCTGTGGTTCCAGGTCTGCTTTGAGGACACATCAGTCATTGTCTGAGCCTGGAGGTGGCAAGAACACCAGTGCATCGTTGTATGTGTGGCCGTAGGGTCGCAGCCTGTAGACACCATACATCATCACATGCATGTGGTTCGGGGCCAGACCGCTGAAGGTGATGGCCATGTCAGAGCAGCAGCCATCCACCACCTGCTGAGGGTGAGTAGACATTGCTTCCTTAATGAGAGCATTGACCGACTTGGTGTTGAAGACATCTTTTCCTTCTGAATCTTCTGCATTTTCAGCAAACACTCCAGTGTACTTCAGGCAGATCGCGAGCTGTTTGTCCTCCGCAAGCTTCCAAATCATGCCTCCTTGCTCTGGGCACTTGTCAGAGTCTTCAACAATACGGGAGAATCGTCTTAGTGATTCAATGCTTAAGACGATTCCTCCCTCACCATCTACATACTCAAGGTCACCAGATTTCACAGTGTGGCCTATATAAAAAGGCTGTGAGGGGTCTTTTTTCAGTAAGAAATATTTGAGGTTTTCAATAATAGCAAATGTTGTTGGATACGCAAGGAAGAACCAGCTGAATTCATCTTTATAGCGTTCATATGTTATCTTGTAAGCTTTTCTCATCATCACCCACATATCATTTGTGTTAAGGGCTACAGAGTCAAACACTTTGACATTTTCTGAGCTGTAGAATTCCACCTTGTCGCAGTGCTTGCTCCATGTCTCTCTGACTGCAGCCCAGTGCCCCAGATCTTTGGGTTTCACGAGGATGATACAATAAACGCGGATACTTTTACTAAGCTCCATGCGTTCACCTTCTGACAGGTTTAGGACATCTTCTTTGTTGGGAGCCTGGATATGATGATGCTCGTGGCGATGGGCTTTAGTCCCGTGGCCTACCTTCATGTGTCCCAGGAGTGTGACCAGCATGCAGAAGGCTCCTCCCAGCACCACCCCCTTCACGAAGGAGCTGCTTTCGGACATCATTTTCCCTAGAAAGGAGACACGCTGTGAGAACTTACAGCAATAACTTTACTATGGCAGATCCCCCACAGTTTTAATGTGTTCTTCCATTTCCAACCGCGGGTGCAGTTCCCTTAAATCACGGACACCGTCGGTGAAAGAGGTGGCAAACCCAACAAGTTCCGGTCTCTTTCGCTGCCGTTACCAGCACGGCAGAACACCCTGGGCTCTCGTACACGGGACCTGCCCCGCGGCCGTGACCACCCGGCCCCGCCGCGCCCGGAGCACCGAGATGTCGCAGCCACGTCCCGGCCCGAGCGCGGCGGCGCTGCCCAGCGGACCCCTCCCGGAGCCAGACCCCCTCGCTCCCGCTTCTCGCCGTTCAACCACGCCCCCTCCCGCTCGCGACCCCGCTCACAGCGCTTCGCCCCGCCCGCCGCAGACCTCCGAGACAGCCGGAGCCCCGGCGGACCCTCACGGCCGCTGTGGCTGGGACCGGTCCCGTGCCCCGCGTCCCCCGCTGACACGGACCGGACCGCACCGCCCCGCCCGCCGCTTACCGGTGCCGCCCGTGACAGGACACCGGCACCAGCCCCCGCCCCAACCGGAAGCGCAGCGCGCTGCCCTTCTAGGCGCCGCGCGCTCGCTGGTGCGAAGGCGCCACCTGGCGGTGCGGATGCCAACTCGGAGCGCGGTCCCGGTCCCGGTGCCGGTCCCTCCGCCCTCTCCCGGTGCTCATCGATCCCCGCTGCCCGCCTGCCCCCCCCCCCCCCGTCCCCCCGCCGTCCCCGCGGCGTTCTGCCCCTGTCTGGCCGCCAGCCGTGGCGGCCGCTCTTGGCGCGCTCAGGCCGCTGCCTTCAGGCAGGGGTTCGACGCTGCGCTGATGTGGCCCCGCCATGTGGTGGGGAAGGACCGCTCGCCGCTCCCGCTGGGCTGCCGCAGGGGGTCCCGCTCCGCTGTCCCGCCGGGGCAGCACCGTGCGGGAGCGCTGCCGGGGTCCATTACATGTGCTCGCTGTACCGACCTGAGCCGCCCTGTGAAGGTGTTGACCTGACCGAATCGGGAAGCGGTGTGAATTTCCAGCACAAACTCTCCGCTTTGAAATTAGAACGTTGATGAATGGGGACAGCATGGCAAAGGAAGGGCAGAACCCGCCTTAAACCATTGCCAGGATCGAATCTGCTGACGCCAATGGGATATTGCCCTATATTCAATTTCCGCACCAATACAATAAACTGTGCTGGAAGCATGGTGCATCTCACTTGTTTCCTGCAGCACAGAACACAGCAGGCGCACAACATTAGTTAATAGAGAATCCCAGAATCGTTCGTGTTGGAAGGGACCTTAAAGCTGCAGTTGCGGCCCCCTGCCATGGGCAGGGACACCTTCCACTAGAGCAGGTTGCTCCAAGCCCCATCCACCCTGGCCTTGAACACTGGCAGGGATGAAACAGCCAAAGAACTTCTTCCTTATATTTATCTTATTTTTTAAAGAGTACAGCCAATTTTTCTACTAACATAACTTTTCATTTCCTTTAGTGATCATCATTCCCGAGCTCCACATTGAAAGATGTAAGAATCACTTTCTACGCATCATCTCTCAGGAAGGTAGAACTGACCACCTGAGCTGAAGGAGCATCACTGAACGATCATTTGTTCCCTTTTCCACAAGCAACTTGAATAAAAAAGGGTTTTATGTGTTTTATCTCTTTATTAGCTGATCGTAGTATACCCTTAGGCCCACACAGTGGTTAGGATACAGTCCTATATAGGTTTTCTCGATGTTGTAAGATATGCCCCAGTTGGATGAACTTAGTGGGTTTTATTTAAGTCAATTTACCACTGGGCTGCTCTGGATCCTCTGGCATCTTAATTGGGTTCCCCAGATGCCTCAGTTATTCAGGTAAGGTTTTTTTTTTTTATGCTCATGGCTGTACTGTAAACATCAAAGCTTAGCAGTGTTATCTTTGGCAAAAAAAGATCTGTAAAAAGATGGGCTGTTTGACTGTTCTGGCCCTGGGGAGCCATTGCTTGTGGTTCAGGTAAAAATGCTACAAAATGGTTATTTTGGTTGGGTTGGTGTATGTGCAGAACGGCTTCATTTGGGGGAACTAAACCTCAGTTACACACTAATAGGAAAAGACTGTCAGTTTGTACATTCAGGTAGTTCTGTTACTACACTCCTATCTTTTTCCACCCGCCTGCTTTTAAGACACAAATAGGTGGACATGCACGTTGTTACCACATACCAGAGACTGGAGGTCAGTTCAAAGTTCCTCCTGTTTGCAGAATCAATTGTGGCTTTCAGGTCTTCAGCAGTTGCTTGATGATGTGCTATGGAGAGTTTTGAATGAGTGGAGACTTGCTGCTTGGGCTGATGCTTCAACAAATTGTTTTCCTGCTTCACTTCAGAGAGGTTCTTTCCAAGGCTCTGACAGAATGACTAATGTAGCTACACATCTTGACTGTCACTTTAATATGTTTTCCACATTGCTTTATCCAGCAGCAGATCAGTGAAGAAACAGTTTAAGCAACATGTAGAGCATGTTACAAACCTGAAGAGGCTTTCCTGGCTTCTGTGTTGCATGGTATTAAAAGGACTAAAATGGCATAGTTGCAGAATCACAGAATCACAGAATGGTTTGTGTTAGAAGGGACCTTAAAACTCACCCAGTTCCAACCCCCCTGCCACGGACAGGGACACCTTCCACTAGATCAGGCTGCTGAAAGCCCTGTCTAACCTGGCCTTGAACACTGCCAGGGATGGGGCATGGTATTGCATAAGCTCTCACAACAGCCATTAATGAGTATTTTGTGGCAATATTAGAGCTCATTTAGGCACACATGTACTCCTGTAAACTATCCATCTCGAATTATTACAAGAAATGTTTTTAAAACTGCAGGAGATCAGTGTTGGAAGTCATTCTGCCCTGGGCTGGAACCAGTCCAGTGTCCTAACTAAGGGAGAGCCAGCCCTAAGGTGGAAGTTAAGTGAGGAAAGAGAGGGGAGATGCTGAGTCATACAGTAGGAATGAACCAGGACTGACTCCTCAAAGATCACTGCAGATGGCTGTGCATTAGCTTTGTATTAAAACATGCAGTATGTCTGCATACAGACTATCGCCCAGATTTCAGCTTTGAGTGCTGACTTGCTGTCCACTGTGTTTGTCAGCTGCAGCTTCACCCCTTACTTCCTGCTGATCCTTCATAGTATCTGTACCACCCTATCAAAGAACAGCAGCATTTGAAACTTATGTACCTGTGCCGGGATCTAAACTGATGACAGAGCTAAAGAGCTCCATGGTTGGTTGCTTCTTGACAGACAGCTTGATCCCCTGCTGTTTTCTGTTTGTCTTTCCTCCCTGGCTGCAGCTGTGTTTGCCTTCTGATGCTCTTTCCTGCCTCCAAGGAAAGCCATCAAACATTATGTTCTCACTGTGTGGTCCAAGAAGTCCGTGAGAGATTGGCTATTATGAAAACATATTTGATAGGAACTTTGTTCCAATTAATGCCAAATGTTTTAGCTGACACATGAGTTGTTATCTTTTACAGTGACTGCTTGTTAATGATCACAAATGACTGTCCACTCTCTTGGAAACAGACTCATCTGTCTCTCTGTTATAGAAGCGTGCAGCAGAGAGCCTGGTGTAGAGCAGTGCAGTAACATTCAGAATGGGTAACTGAAGCTAGAGGTGAGCTATTGCAGACGTTTCTGGGTGGTTAAGACACCAGCTGCAATTTATGCTGTGTAGAAAGAAGCCCTAATCAGAAGATACTGTTGAAATTATGAGAAATGCAGAGGCATGGTTGCACCTGGACATTTGATTTTGTTGTCACGTTGCACATGTGCACATAGTGCTGAAGCTATTGGGAAACATGCAAGTTCCACCCGTTCATCTGACTCCATCAGAAGAGGGGGTCAGGTGTGGTTGTGGGCTGAAGACTGCAAGCTCTCATCTTAACCAGTTGAACTCCCACTGAAGCCAACAGAGACAGTGCAGGAAAAGGACTTTTATGAAGCCCAGTTATTACTGTTCTGTTACGTGCCTGCTACTTCCATTGTTTCATTCAGCTCATAACGTGCACAGTTGAACAAACATGTCTGTCAAGGTTTTTAATCCTATTGTTGGAAAAGATTTGGGAATACCCATTTTAAAGTCATAAAATAGGGAGGTGGAGAGTCTGGTTTGCAGGTGGGTAGAGCCAGACTTCATCTGCTTCACAGGGAGCTGCTCAACCAGCATTTCTTTTGTAGGAGGATGGTTTCTGTAGCCAAACTTTAGCCTCCTCTTTTGCCCTGCATCCTCTTCTTCACTTTAGTTTCCCACACAGAATCTGAAATCTGGAAAAACATGGATGGACTCCTTGTAGTCTTCATCCTGGGGAAGTGCGCACAGCCATGTATGACACCAAGACCTAGACACAGAGGTAGGCACTGAGCAAAGGAAAAAAGCTTTAAAGCCAAGAGGAAATATAGTGTTGTACTTTCAATACTAATTTCAAAACTCAGGTTGAAATATTTACCTCTGAAAAAACGTCCTCTCCAATTGTTGGACGAAATGCTGGAATTACAGGGTGAAATTTTATAGCCCATATTTTATAGCAGATAATGCATAAATACAATCTTCTAGCCTTGAAATGTGTGGAATTGATTAACTATGTTAAACAATAGTTTTAAATCACTTTTATTGCCTCTGTCAATCATGAGCACTGTCAAGGAAAGGCTTGGCATTGAAATGACCATTATTTAAATGGTGTCCTCAAGCACAGGATGGTATATGAGAAGCGAAAAATGAGTGACTCCAAAAAGACTTACCAACTTAGGACTGCTTTATAACTTCTTTAGGTTTTAATGTTGTAGCTGAACGCAAACCCCATCTTATTCTCTGGGTATGCTGAATCAGTCAAGAGAATGCTAATGGGCCTCCTAGCTTCTGCTGGAATTAAAGTAGCAGAGACAATGCCCAGAGCTGAGCTGACATCATTGTGAATGGCTCCGATGCACAAATACAACAGAAAGAGAATAGGAACTAGACATTTTAATGTCAACTCTCTTAGAAGCACAGGAAAAAAAGAATAATCATTGATCAAATAGGAACAGGGAAAAAAAAAAGGCAGAGAAATCTTATTTTTCAGGGTTCCAAAGAAAAAAAAAGTGGAGATGAGAATAGCATTCTATCAGAAAGAATGGGTTCTTAATAGCCCTTTAAAATAAAATGCATGAAGCAGTGATGAAGTGATTTTGCTGCATCTTTAAGGAGCTTGCTTTTTGTCAGATTGAGGTTATTCGAAAAAGGCCCTCTGTAGAAAATTACAGTTTCAAATTATGGTTTTTCAGGCTCAGATTGCACAGGTGAGAAGCGCCACTGCGAGCAGCGGTGGCAAAGACAGCCCTGTGGCACACAGAGAAGGCAGAAGGGGAGCCTTGCTCTTTGGGCTCTGCCTTGACACGATTTGCAGACAGTTTGTGGAGCCTGAGCACAAATGAGGTTTGTGTTTTGGTCCAGTGTCCTAGGAAGTCTTTAGACAATGCTGTGGTTTGGTTACCTGAAACTTGGAGAGACACAAAAGCTTCTGGCATGGTATTTGTTTTAAAAAGGGTTGTG